GTATTGAATGATTAATTTGTATTTTCATATAGGCTACGAGTTCTTTAATCATGGTGATGATAACATTATGTTAATTCCAGATTAATTCATTATAAACTTAAAGATAATAAAGTTAAATTTTAAATATTGTTACATTGCTCTTTAATACTTAATTAATGATTAAATAAAGATATTTCTAAGAGCGTTAATTATTAAAATAAGGTATTAATTTATCATTTCTAATTACAAAGATATTTTAAGACTATTGTTTTATTAATTATAGATTAATAGATTAAAAATACAAAGATATTAAAATAAATTTTTTACTATATTTCTATCATTCTAGGTTTTACTGTATTATTTTAAAGGTAGTGAAAATACAAATTTTTTTAATATATTTTGAAGTCTAGATTAATACTTTATAATTTTAAGGTGTTTACTTCTTTTTGTGTAAAATACTTTTCTGTAATCAAAATCACCTTTACTTTTGGAAAATTCTTATTAACACTTTTGAATGATGATAATTTGTGTAGATACCATAGGGTGATGAATAAGATATTATATGCAATTATAAAAGGAAAAATGGCATTTTTAATAAGAACAATGAAAAAAGAGTAATATTAGAAAAGTCTAATAAGGCTGAATGTTTAGGACTGGAACCAATAATTTTAACAAAATATATGTTTATTGTAAAATGGGAGAATGATATTTATTTTATTAAAGGAAATTTAAATTGCTGATCATATGAGTTTATTATATAATTGATCATCGCCACCATCAATTTTTTTCATTTAAAAAAAGGAGCATATTTATAAAATTAATATCAATAATCTCATTTGATTGTTCTTTCAAAATTAGAAATTTCAAACAGTCCCAACTGTTAGAAATTTCATTGTATTGATTTTATAGACTTAAACTTGTATTTATTTCACGCGTAATTATTTCATGGTACTAAGCTTTTTAGAAATATGTTGATGGAGAATTTACATCAAATTAAGTTTTTAGTCTGAACTACTAATCTTATAGCATTTTAATTCTATAATTATTGATTACTTTCTGTTCTTATCTCGCTGGCTTTCCTAAATCCATAAGTTAATAGAAGATGAAATTAGTAATTTAAAGCCATATCATTTATATTTATGAAATCTAATTAATTGTTACTTTTGCATTAGCTGATTATTGATTTTTTATATAAAAAAGTTGTATATTTGAGCGTTAATGAACAAAATTTTGGGTGAACCTTTACTTTACAGTGAACAATAAATAATTTCAATATAAACCCAAAGACTAGAAGATGAAAAGAAAAGTTAAGGGCATCATTAAAAAAATATAAGAAGTGAATTGTAATAATATTTTTGCACTATTCATGAATTAACCTTTTTCACTTTTGCATTAAGCCTTCCAAAATGCAACTCCCTTTTGATAAAAATAATGGTCTTAAATCTTTTCCTTAATGATTGATAAATTCTCCTTTCAAGATTTATGTTCCTTAAGCTTACAAATTTATTTATTTGGATATAACAAGAATCGAATAACTGGAAACTAAATAATTAAAAAAATAAATACCTTAAAAAGGGTTTTATTAAAATAGGGGTGTTTTAAATTAAGCAACTATATTTTTATAAATTTTATCCGTGGCTTGAATTTCTTTTGCTGTCTTGACATCCCATAAACGGAGAGAATCATCTTTACTCCCAGTAGCTAATATAGTTCCATCAGAAGAAAAACAGACTGAGTTGTAATAATATTAATGACCATCCAATTTATCTTTTTATTATCCTGTGTTTATATCCCATAAACGGATAGTCATATCATCACTACCAGATGCTAACACTGTTCCATCAGGAGAGAAAAAAACTGAGTATACATAAAAAGTATGACCATCCAATTTGCCTTATTATTATCCTGTTTTTATATCCCATAAACGGATAGACTTATCATAACTACAAGATGCTAATTTCGTTCCATCAGGAGAGAAACAAACCTATCTAACAGTGTCATTGTGACCAGTCAAATTAACTTTTTATTATCCTGTTTTTACATCCCATAATCGGATAGATTTATCATCACTACCAGATGCTAATGTAGATCCATCAGGAGAGAAACAGACTGAGTAGACAGGACTAGTATGACCATTCAATTAGGCTTTTTATAATCCTGTTTTTAAATCCCATTAACGGATAAATTTATCATACCCACCAGATACTAACGTAGTTCCATCAGGAGAGAAACAGACTGAGTAGACCTAACTATTATGACCATCAAATTTGGCTTTTTATTATCCTGTTTTAACATCCCATAAACGAATAGATTTATCACTACTTCCAGATGCTAATCTATTTCCATCAGGAGAGAAACAGACTGAATATACACAATTAGCATGACCATCCAATTTGGCTTTTTATTACCCTGTTTTTATATCCCATAAAATGATAAATTTATCATAACCACTAGAAGCTAATGCACTTCCATCAGGAGAAAAACAGATCGACCAGACTGGGTTAGCATGACCATCCAATGTGGCTTTTAATTATCCTGTTTTAATATCCCATAAACGGATAAATTTATCATACCCACTAGATGCTAATGTACTTCCATCAGGAGAAATACAAACAGAACTCACATATCCATCATGACCATCTAAATTGTTAAATTCAAGTATTTTTAAGTTATTCCATTTGCAATTAAATAACAAAGCACCATTCAAATTTATCCCACTAATATTTACATTATTAAATTCTGATCCACTTAAATTGCATCTAACAAAATTAGCTCCAACCAAAGAAGTATTTTCTATCTTAATATTTTCCAAATTTTTGTTTCTAAGATCCACCTTCATTTAAACTAATAAGTGTAATGAATTAGACCCACATTATATTAAAGTTTTATCTAAGGTAGTGAGATGAACTAAAAATTACAAAAATTCTATAAACTATTTATCATCCTTTATTCTTTTAATTAGATCTTTTATAGATTCTTAATTTTCTTCTTTCGAATAGTCTTTGTTATTAAAGTCGTGATCTTTTACTTTGTTGATGAAATTAGTTATTTTTTAAATGTTACTGCTAGCAACTTACAACTTCTTTTAATAATCAACTTGTGTTAAATTTTCTTATTGTTGTAAGACTTATTATTCTAGATGTCTCTTATTTTCCTAATCTGAAAGATATTAGATAATGTCAAAAACTTTCTCTTTTTTAAATATTTTTAATATGAAACTAAATATTTGTTCATCTACATCATTAACTTAAGCAAAAAGGTTAAAAATAGCATCCTTCTATTCAAAAGTGCAATGCATTTTCTATTTTTCTTTT